TTTACTTCATCTGATGGGATGTTTCTGTGATCTTTTTTATCTTTGTTGTATTTCTGTGGTTTATTATAGTTATTGATTTGCATATGATGAATCACCCTTAAATCCCTGCAATAAAACCAACTTGATCATGGTATATGATCTTTCCAATGTGCTATTGAATTTGATTTGCAAATATTTTTTTGAGGATTTTTGCATCACTGTTGATCAGGGATACTGGTCGAAAGTTTTCTTGTTTTTGTTGTTGTGTCCATATCAGGTTTAAGTATCAGGGTAATGCTGGCGTTACAGAATGAGTTTGGGAGGTTTCTTTCCCTATTTTATAGAATAGTTTTGAGAAGCACTGGTATTTTTTTCTTCCTTAAAAGTCTGGCAAAATTCAGCAGCGAATCCATCTAGTCCTGAGCTTTTCTTTGTTGGGACACTTTTTATTTCTGTTTAATTCCATTGCTTGTTCTGTGTTTAGTTTTTTTTATATCCTCTGGGATCAATTTTGGTAGATCATATGTCCAGAAATTGTCCACTTCTTCTCTTGGTTTTCAAGTTATTGGCATATAGTTTTTTGAAGTATTCCATAATGATGCTATGAATTTCATTGGTACCCATTGTAATGTCCCCTTTTTCATCTCTAGTTTTATTTATTTAGATCTTCTCTTTTTTTCTTGGCAGGTCTAACTAATGGTTTGTAAATTTTATTTATTTTTCATAGAACTAGCTCTTTTATTTCATAAATCCTTTGTATTGTCCTTTCATTCTCTATTTTATTTATTTCTGCCTGATCTTTATTATTTCTTTCTCTTCTACTGATTTTAGGTATCATTTATTATCATTTTTCTAAGACCCTGAGATGCAGTGTTAGGTTCTTTAACTATGATCTCTCTGTTTTTTAATGATGGCACTGATAGACGTAAACTTCCCACCTAGTACAGCTTTCACTGTATCCCACAGATAATCGTGTGTGTTGTGCCTTCATTTTTTGTTTGATTGAAGGAATTTTTAAATTTGTCATTTAATTTCTTCATGCAAAATGTATTGTTCCAAACAAACTAACAAACAAAAAATGCTGGAGAGGATGTAGAGAAAAAGAAACATTTCTACACTTTGGTGGGATTGTAAATTAGTATGAAATAGTATGTAGGTTTTTCAAAAGACTAGAAATGGATCCACCATATGACCCAGCTATACCACTCATTAGTATTTATCCTAAAGAATTAAAGTCAATATACTATCGCATTACATGCATACCCATTTTTTTCTGATAATAATTATTTTATTTTATTATTTTAATGTAATTTTTTATTTATATATGAAATAGAATGTATTACAATTCTTATTACATATATAGAGCACAATTTTTCATATCTCTGGTTGTATACATAGTATATTCACACCAATTCGTGTTTTCATACGTGTACTTTGGATAGTAATGATCATCACATTCCACCATCATTAATTACCCCATGCCCCCTCCCTTCCCCTCCCACCCCTCTGCCCTATCTAGAGTTCATCTATTCCTCCCATGCTCCTGCTCCCTACCCCACTATGAATCAGCCTCCTTATATCAAAGAAAACATTTGGCATTTGTTTTTATGGGATTCGCTAACTTCACTCAGCATTATCTTCTCCAACTCCATCCATTTACCTGCAAATGCCATGATTTTACTCTCTTTTAGAAGAGGAAAAGTTTATTTGGGACTCATGGGTTCAGAGGTCTCAGTCCATTGACAGCCAACTCCATTGCTCTGGGCCACACATGAGGCAGGACATCAGGGGATATGGAAGGGTGAGCAGAGTAAAGCAGCTCAGGGAGGGACTAATTTTGGCTCATCGGGGACAAAATGTAAACCTCAAAGGCACCCTCCCAGTGACCTACCTCCTTAAGTCACACCCTACTGACCTATAGCTATCACCCTGTTAATCCATTCAGATGGATTAATGCACTGATTATGTTAAGTTTCTCATAATGGGATCATTTCACCTCTAAACTTTTTTGCATTGTCTCGTGAGCTTTTGGAGGACAGTTCATATCTAAACCATAACAGTCTCTAATGCGGTGTGAGCCTTGTGGCTATCTTTTTTTAAAAAATTTATTCTTTAAATACATGACAGCAGTGGAAGCATTACAATTCTTATTACACATATAGGGCACAATTTTTCATATCTCTGTATATAAAGTATGTTCACGCCAATTTATGCCTTTATACATGTACTTTTTTTTGCATTACAATTCTTAATACACCTATATATCACAATTTTTTGTATCTCTGTTTGTATATAAAGTATGTTGACACCCAAATCAAGTCTTCATACATGTACTTTGTATAATGATGTCCATCACATTCCACCATTCTTGTTAATCTCCTGCCCCCTCCCTTTACCTCTCACCCCTCTTCCCTATCTAGAATTCATCTATTCCTCCCATGTTCTCCCTCCCTACCCCACTATGAGTCAACCTCCTTATATCAAAGAAAACATTTGGCATTTGGGTTTTTTGGTATTGGCTGACTTCAATTAGCATTATCTTCTCTAATGCCATCCATTTACCTGCAAATGCCATGATTTTGTTCTTTTTTAATGCTGAGTAAAATTCTATTGTGTATATATGCCACATCCACTGAAGGACATCTAGGTTGGCTCCACAGTTTAGCTATTGTGAATGTGCTATAAACATTGATGTGGCTGTGTCCCTGTAGTATGCTGTTTTTTAAGTCCTTTGGGCATACCCATATTTATAGCAGCACAATTCACAATAACCAAACTGTGGAACCAATCTAGGTGTCCATAAATGGATGAATGGGTAAAGAAAATGTGGCATATATACAGAATACAGTTTTACTCAATCATAAAAGTGAATGAAATAGTGTCATTTGCAGGAAAATGGATGGAACTTGAGACTATTATATTAAGTGAAATAAGCCAAACTCAGAAACTATAAAGGGTTGTATTTTTCCTCTCATATGTAGAAACTATAGAGGAAAAAGAAAAGGTGGGAAGAAAAAGAAAGGTGGGAAGGGGTGTGCTTCATGAAAATTGAAAGGAGATCAATAGAGGATAGGGACAAGAGGGAGGGAAAGGAAATGAGATAAAAGGAATATACTGGTGAAGGATATTGGCCAAATTTTGTTTTTATATTATGTGCATGTACAAATATATAACAACAAATCCTAACATATGTGCAATCATAATGCACCAATAAAAATATGGAGAAAGCATATTGTTCAATCTCTATGTGTTTGCATAATTTCTGTAGTTGCTTTTGTTGTTGATTTCTAGTTTCATTTCATTATAACCTGATGAGTTGCAAAAGATTATTTATATTCTTAAAAATGTGTTAAGTCTTACTTTGTGGTCCATTATATAATCTACTTGGAAAAACTTTAATGTACTGATGAAAAGAATGTGAATGTGTTCTGTAACTGTTGGATGCAATACTCTATAGGTGTCTGTTAAAAATGCAGTTGATCTATAGTGTGATTTAACTCTGATGATTCCTTATTGATAATTTTTGTCAGGATTTTCTATTATGAGAATGGGGTACTGAAATTACCCACCATTATTGTATTGGGGCCTACCTCCCTTTATGTTCATAGTATTTGATTTATAAAATTGCGTGGTTTGATATTTGGTACATCACATCTAAAATTATTAAATCTTCTTGATAAATTGTTCCTTTAATAGAAATGTAGTGAATTTCTTTGTCTCTTCTGAGTATTTTTGGCTTGAAACCTCTTTTGTTAGATAAGAGTATAGCTAATTCTGCTTCCTTTTGGATTTCATTTGCTTGGAACATTGTTTTCCATATTTTCTCTTCCAGTCTGTGTATGTCTTTGCAGGCAGAAAATTGTTGGGTCTTATATTTTTGTTCTGGTTTCATTTTCTTTGTTTGTTTTAGATCCAGTTAGCCATTCTGTGCTTTTTCATTGAAAAATCAAGACCATTTCCACTCAATATTATTATTGAAAGGTGTGTATTGGTTCCCACCATTTTGTTGTTTTTCTAGTTGTTATGAGTGATCTATGTGCATTTCTTTCTTCCTTATTCATTTTAAAGTATTTGTTACAGAATTAAAGTTTGATTATTTTCTTATTCTCTCTTACTTATCTACTCTATTAGTGAGGTTTGCTCTTTCCCATGCTCTCATTATGGTGTTTATCTTGCTTCCTCTTCTGTAGGTAAGTTTCCTAAACATATCTTTTGTAATACTGGTAGAGTAGTCATGAATTCCTTTAGTTTATGCTTATCTTGGAAGGTCTTTATTTCTTCTTTCAGTATGAAGGATAACTTAATGGATATAGTAATGTAGGCTGTTAGTTATTTTCTTTCTGGAATTAAAATATACCATTCCATGTCCTCTTGGCCTGTTGAGATTCTGCTGAGAAATATGTTATTCTGATGAGTTTAACTTTATATGTGACTTGGTGCTTCTCTCTTACAGCTTTCAATATTCTTTTTTCTGTATTTTTGGCAGTTCAATGTGTCACAGATAGGTTCTTTTCTGATCATGTCTATTTGGGGATATAAATTCCTCCTGTACCTAAATGTCCATATCTTTTCCAAGATTTAGAAAATGTTCTGCTATTATTTCCCTGAATAGGTTTTCAATGCCTTTAGCCTATAGTTCTGCTGCTTTGTCTTTGCCAATTATATATACATTTAGTCTTTTGATGGTGTCCCACAGACCATATATGTCATTTTCATTCTCTCTCATTTTTTTCTTCATTATGATCTGAATGTGATAATTTATCAACCTTGCCTTCACTTCCTGATTCTTTCTTCTGCTTAACCTAGTCTTTTAGTAAGGCTTTCAACTGCATTTTAATTTGACTTACTGAGCTTTTTATTTCTAAAATTTCAATCTGGTACTTTTTCAGAATCCCTAATTCTTTATTTAATTGATGTTTCATATTCTATATTGATTTTCTTAATTCACTCATATATTTATTTTATCCTTGTTGAATTAATAATTTTATTGCCATTTGCTTAAAGATTAAAGACAACACAAGTAGAAAGACCTTCAATGTTCACAGATAGGCAGAAATAATATTGATTAAAATGCCCACACTAGCAAAAGTTTTCAATTAGCAATAATCGCGCCTCGGATAAACCTCATTGGCTACGATACTGCCACTGCGCAAAGCTAATCAAAAGTAATATAGAGATTCAATGCAATCCCCATTAAAATACCAATGACAATCTTCATAAAACTAGGGAAAAAAATGTCAATTATTTGGAAGAATAAAAGAACTAGAATAGTCTAGGCAATTCTAAGCCAAAAAAGCAGTGCTGGAGACACCAAAATACCTGAATTCAAATTATAATATATAGTTTAGTAATAAAAACTGCATGGTGTTAGCACAAAAACAGACACAAATCAATTGTACAGAATAGAAGTCACAGAGACAAATCCACAAAAATACAGTCATCTGACCATCATAGTTCAGATATGATGTAGACAGCAAAAAATATGAGGTACATCCCCTGAGGTTACTTCTCCAGTCTTGTCATCAATGTGCAGGAAGAAACCTAGGCTGAGGTCCCTTGTAGGCGAAGTGTCCAACTTTTGTGTGCTCACTGCTGTTGCTACAAAGGTGAATGACAAGAAACAGGTCTTCAGCCCCCACCCCACCCCTAGCCATGCCTACTTGGTGCAGGTAATCAACTGGAGATTTTATATTCCTTATTCTTTAAGTTGAATTATCTACCAAGGTTCCAACAGGGTTGGGTCATAGGTGAAGTAAGGTAAAATTTTTCTCAGCTGGGTTGGGAGGGTAGTTCAGTGGCACACCATCTACCCAACATGCTCAAAGTGTTGGGCTCAATTCCCAGCCCCACACACAAAAAAAAGAAAAGCAAGTAATAACAACAAATGAAAACAAATCATATAAAGAAACAAGGTAAAAACTAAGTAAAAATAGTAACAATAATAATACCAAAACCAACAACAACAAAGAAAAGAACAAATCCCACACAACTATTCTATTCTGGCAAGCTGTAATAGCGTATTTCCCAAAATCAGTCCTTAAAGGAAAGCACCTCTACTTCCCTCCAAATAGCAGACCTTGCTTCTCACCAAAGAGAACTCTCAGCAGTTTTATGACAAAGTCACTTCCTTGAGTCCAAACCGTCTCTCAGCGCAGCAGGTTCACCGATCCAGTGAAGAGGCCCTTGAGTCTTGAAGATAGAAAAATGAAGAGGCTTCTGACAACCAGAGCAGTAAACTCAGATAACAGAACCCTTCCTAAGATTGCTCCCAGTTAGAAACTGTATGAATACTTTTGGAAGTGCAGAGAACTTCTTCCCTAGAACCAACTAGCTTTGTAAATCCCAGGTCTCTTATAGACTGTATGTTTGCAAGATTCTGAGTGCTCTGCTTGTGGAGTTCTCTAAGATCCTCTCTCTTTTACTTATTCTGGAGGATACTTCCTTCCTCCTGCTGAGCCCCAAACACAGGGTACAGTGCTCAAAGGTGAAAAAGAAACTTGGTGCTGGGGAGCTCTGTTTTTGTTTTTGTTTTTGTTTTTGTTTGCTATTCTAATATACCCAGTATTTCTGAGTTTCATCCGGTCACTTACTCTAGCATGGCACTCCAGCGCTTTCCTATGACACCCACCTCAACTATACCTACACACCTGTTGTTCTAGTTTAATCTGGTGAAGAAGCAGGTGAGTGCTGGTGCCTCTAATCTGTCATCTTCCAATCTCCAAAAAGAGCTTTCTAAAAACTGAATCCCATAGCCTCACATACTTTATAATTCAAGTAACTATTTCATTCAATTTACCCACACTACTAGATTTGATCATCTTTCTTTATGTATTCTTCATATTCAAGTTTTTTTATTTTTTAAATCAATGCAAATCCTCATATAAAACACATAAATGCAATAGGGTGCCTGTGCAGGAGCACACAAGATACCTGATATGGTTTAAAAATAAATTAGAGGAAGTCTTGCCCAGGCAAATCTTCTCCTTTTTAGAAAGTTTTGAGAAGTATTCCTTAGTTAAGTAAATGTAGAGGAACTTGAAGCAGTGGAGTGGGTACAGTGCTCAAAGGTGAAAAGGAAACTTGTTATTCCAGCAAGGTTTAATGATTCAAGGAAACTGGAGGTAAGCAAACCTGTTGCTTATAATCAAATGTGTTTATTTACATACAGAATCTAGACAAGTTACCAAAGGTCCAACTCTGTTCACAGGATCCTGAACTAGAAAAACCTTCTCAGGGTCAACCAGAGTCCATAGTTACTTGGAAGGGATTTTCACTCTGGATGGATACTTAAGTCTGAGAAGGAAATGCAAAGCAGTTTTTTAGGCGGGGGAAGTGTTGCTTTGACCACAGAGGATGGCTGATGCTGGACACATTGACCAGGTCTAAAATCTGACATCAGTGTTTAGAAAATTTAGCACTAAGCATTAATATGTACCAAGAGAATTTTGTAAACCAACTGCCATCTGTCTCTGATGGTATCTGGAAATTATGGTGTTTGTAAATATGACCAGGCTAGCTGGAGTGCTTAAACCATTGGGTAGGTCCTTAAGAAGAATTTTGTAGTCTTCCTGACAGGGTGACTGTTTACTGGACAAACTAATTCAGCAAATAAGAGGACATGACTATCTGTCTCTAGTTTAGGAAGTAACTTAATGCAGCCATGCAAATTTGAAAACATCCTGTTTTCAAACTTAACAAATTTTGTTTCTTACATGTGAGTTCACTCTTTGCTTCCCAGGTTTTGAGAAAGGGACAAACTCAAATGCCATCAAGTATGAGGCTATTGAAATAACTGCATCATATAATAAGGAGGGATTGTGACTGAGAATAACTGGAGAATTTCTCCCTCTTCCAAGGAATCCAAATGCAACAATAAATTAAAATCTGAGCTGAACACTCTCTCTCTCTCTCTCTCTCTCTCTCACACACACACACACACACACACACACACATACATACAGAGAGAGAGAGAGAGAGAGAGAGAGACCATAAGTCAGTAAGCTAAATTTGCCTTACAATTGTCACTTTGATACTCATCAATAGAATCTATTTTGAAGTGTTCAAATCTTTTCTGGGATGACAAAAACTACTCTTCCAAAGTCACTAACAAAGAATTTGAAAGGATAATATAAAGAAGAGTGAATACTTTACTGAACCACAACTCAGTTCTGAGCTCTAGTTCCTGTGACCCAAAGAAGACTAAGATAAGTTTCCTTCTTCAGTGAGCTCCCAGACTCATGTTCAAGAATGTCACCACCATTTGTTCAGGTTCTGGTCCCCTTGAATACTCAGGAATATAGCTCTGAAATGTCATTGGATAAACTCACTTGTACCTCCTTTAAAACTGTGTGTACTGTAATATTAACAGGACTTTTTTTTCTTTTAAATAGAAAGTAATAGACATCCACTCATATCTCTGCCTGCCTTTGCCAATGATGGGGTTCAGGAAACACTACCCCAGAGTATTTTAAGCTGAAGGAATTTGAGAAAAACCACAGAAGCAGGAAGGTCTCTCTGAACTTCCTCTGCCCTTATTCCCTGAAACAAGTCATGAAATCTAGGGAAAATTCTACTATCCTCTGAAGCAGGTCATAAAACCATGGTGTGAAAGGTACCTTCTCTATAGCATAAGGAAAGGAACATCCTTACCTCAAATGGGACACAGAGAAAAATCTGAACAAATAGGACTTGCTAAATTTCCCTAACTTATTACATTTAGTTCATACCTGCTTTGTACCATTATATTTCTCCATGTCTGCCTACTTTTTTGGCAGGGTGGGGGTACTGTGGATTGAAATCAGGCCAACTGTCTACTTTTTATAATAACCTATTAATTAAAACTATACACTTAGGCTTAACTACTTCTTCAGGTTTTCATCTGCTGATGAAAACTCCTGTGTCACATAAAACATTTAAATAACCTATGTGATTATCTCCTGTTAATCTGTCTTTTATGGTAGGGGCCTCAACCATAAACTTAAAATGAATTACAAAAAGATATCCCTCCACCCCATACTGCCCTTCACTTACCCACATCTCATCCTGCTAATGCCCCCTGTCATTTAAGCCCCTGGATACCCACAAACCCTAGCTTGCATCTCTGGCTGCACCTTCCGCACTCAACAAAGTTCCTGGCACGGCATATGCTCTTCATGTACTCAACTATGTGAACTGAGTTCTGCTAACTTGCAATTCTGATTATTGGTCCTGAACTTGATCTTTGTGAATCTCACAATACAGACCTGAATCTCTGCATGTTAAACCACTCGACCCAGACCTAGTTTCCTGGACTTGGCCTTTCCTTCCCACTAGTCTGATGTGACATTTGACTTTGATTTTCCTTTCTATAAGCACAGGGCCCCTCATGTCCTTCTTTCCCCAAGAACAGATGTTTCTGCAGTAAGATGCAATTTCTTTTCTGCATTCTCATCTCCTCTCGTTCCCTCACTGCCCTGGTTCTTCTCAGGCAGTCCCATCTCCTTGCTACTCATCAGTCCCCTGATACTTTAGATTGCATATTTCTGTAAAGCTGCTTTTAGAAAGGCAAGAAATTCAGAGTCTAAAAGTCAAACAGTAAAAGACACAGTCATACTTGAGAGATTCATGTTTTAGAAAGAACTACTGGGGCTCAGGAAATGATACTCCAAAGTATGGCACTTTGGATTGCTCCCTGCTTTGAACTAAATGAGAACCAAGGTCTCTCTGACCTCCTCCTGCCCTCCTGTCTCTCATTTCTCTTTCTTCCCCAAAGCACAGACAGAAATTTTCTCTAAATATTCCTTGCCTACCTTGAAACTGGATCCTCCTTAAAGAATAAAATTGTGTCATATCCCCTCCCCAGGAATCTCTTCATTGGAGAAAATTGACTCAAAGCATTGGAAAGAAGACCAAAGGTTAACACCACATCCAGACAGTCTATGTCACAGTCTATCACCAGTTGTTCAGATACCTCGATTATCTCCCCTAAGTTGCCCACATGCCCCTCCTCTCTCTCCACTGAAGTCAGCATATAAGCTCTTACATTTCACTGGATTGTTGAGTACCCACTTTTTTTTTCCTTGTGATATATACCTGTCTGATATATGTCTATTTATTTCATAGATGTACTTTATCAAAACTTCAGAGGATCATGGGAAAGTTCTCTTTACCCCTACAAA